GTTTCGCTTCGTTGTTACGATAAAAGTGGAAGAAACTCTCCCCCTGTTAAACGGTGGCGTATTTCCTAATTCTCGCTATACAGTGTGATTTCCACGAAGTAAAAAAATGTCGACGGGATAACGAGTTGAACAAGTTTCTCAAACATAAATAAAAAACATATAACTAGTAATAACATACCCAAGGATTGAAATTTTCCCATTAATATAAAACCTGAAGGAATAAAAGAAAAAACCAAATACATACATATATAAGATTAATCAGTTAATAAGATTTGTCTGATGCATTACATTGTAAACAAAATACAGTGACATGTTACCTGGGCCCGGCCCCGTTTACGACCGAAAACTCAGGAACGCCGAACGTTTGACTACAGAGCCGGACTTTTGAGGACACAATTCTATACTTTTCTTGAGAGGGAGCTACCGAGCTATAAGAGTAGCAGATAGTACCTCTATAATGTTTAGTCAACTAGTAATTGATGGTCGACGGTAGGTTAACAATTTTTGGAGAATCGAAAAAAGATTCTTTTTGGAAAGCTGATTATTATGAGTGCCTTGTGTCGAACTAAAATGTTCTGGACGATGTCACTCTGTTTTATTACATTTTTTAGATTCCCTGCTTTCTTCTGATTACTTTTGTTTAATAGTTTTCCAATTCGGTCTAGTGCGGTTTTCGAAAAATTGATTATGTTTGTTTTTTTTTCTCCGAAATGTAATAAACCAAACTAAAACTTTAACATGACTGATGTTTGCACCCACGGCAAACTGAAATTTAGATTCCTGTTTTCAAAAATCACAGTATCCAGACTCGTTTAAAATTAATGATTTTGAACAATGCCCGGGATCACATGTCTGTCTGCGCAAAGGCACTTAACATTGGCACAATGGAGGCGTTGCTAAGCGACGGTGTAAATAATACAACCAAACCGGCTAGGTCAGGTCACATGATGTGCTTTTGCTGGCCTCTAAAACATAATTTCTCGAAATAAGATTTTTACTTTTTATCGATTGCAATATATAGCAATATAGCAAATAGCAAACGGTTTTACTTTCTAAATTGACAGACACATGCAACCATGATTTTGGCACTTGAAATCCTATAAAATACAGTACACGATATTGCAAACAAATATAGGCTTGCGTATTTTATTTTTGGATTTTTTTTTTATTTTGGTAAAGATTGTGGGAAAATTTCTTTAGTATTTTTTAAATCTGGTATAGTATTGGCATTTGTTTCTAGAAGAAATGTTGTTGATATTCCTTTTTAACATTCCTATCCATTAAAAGAGTGATTTAAGGAAAAATCTAAAAATGGATAATTGAACCTGGGACTCCTACCGTGGATAAAATCTCCTCGAATTTCAGCGAGAAACTTTTTCGTTGAAAGACAAATATCCCCTAGATATTGCTAATTAGTGCATTTACGTTTTGATCTTTTTAACGACGTCAAATTTGAGATGCCGTAATGTAAATAGAAGTGGCTCGGAGGCAAATATTTGCGAATCCGTTCGAATACGACCGACGGTAACACAAATGTCGGTTCTGGCAAGGTAAAATGATTCGTCAGCGTTCAATTAAAACTGTGTGCCGCGGAATTCCTTAATTGGCCGCACTTGGAACTTTAATATTCTTCGAAAATTCTTTAATTGCCACTCCCAAGAAACGCGATAATGAAAAAATATAATGAAAGATTTTCCGTCGTCACATTTTGGAATTTTTCAGATTCTTTACTTAGAAACTGAACTTAGATAAGATAAATTGAGATTAAAACAACCCAATAAGTTCGTTTAATTTTTGTATGGCTAGAAGATATGGTAAAGTCTGTTCATAGATATAAGAAAGTGACTAACTGCTACGAATTAAGGAAAGCCCGGGTAAGCTGTAAGAATGAAATTTGGCCGAATAGGTCTGTACTTTGCTTAGAATTTAATTATTTGGGGTTTTGTTAGGAAAGATACTAAACAATATATATTTATTTATGTATGTAGCCTTAAAACTGTATGCCCTAAATTTTTTGTATAATTATCACAGACGTATTCCTTTTGTAGGTTCAAGCTTTGTAGAACCTCAATTAATTGCTTTTTGGTATAATTTTCGTGAAAATAAATGTCGTTATTATATATATAGTTTTGGATTGTTGCTTTTATGTCACACGAGGAAGGAGTTTTAGTCAACTGTCTACTGCGATAACTTGCATTGTCCATTACAATTACGCTATTAGGAGGAATGTTTGGAACTTGTTTGTTTTTAAACAAACTTTCAAATAAATCAGCGGTTGGGTCTTCATGGTAATCCAGAGAAGAATCTTTAATATTTTTCGCAGACAGAGAAAGTCCATTTGGAATCCAACCATCTTTAGAGCCAGCATGCAAAATAGTTATTCTTTTACCTATTTTTGATGGCACACTTATCAGTTGAGTCAACCCAACCCTTTTCTGGGGTATCATAAGTGTCGAACCAGGTTTCATCCAAGTAAATAATCGGCCTTTATTGTTCTCTGTAAATCCTATTTTTTTCTAGATATTCCAGTCGCCATTTCCGAATTCTAAAAGATTCCATTAAAACTTGCCTTTTGTAATTATATTAAATTAAATTATATGTTGATCACTTTCATCCACACTCGAGAAAATGTCAGCATCGCTTCTTTTTTTCCCCGCTGAAATGGGATTATTCACAATTTTCCAAAGACCGCAACACAGTGGTGTACGCTACTCCCATAGAAACAATAGAAGAAATAAGAAATAAAATCGTAAATACTTGCAAAAAGATTTTAGCTCGTTCAATGATTCGTCCAGCAACAAGGGGTATGAAAATGGATGGGCAATTCCAACATTTGTTATTTGAGCAAAATTGCGAAATTTCAACAAATATTAATTAAAAAAAAATCGGACAAAAAATGTTGTTTCATATTTTTTAACAAAGTCTTCTAATATATCTCATATATATATATGAAACTCCAGATTTTTGAGTTTGACAATTTCAAATCATCCCGTGCATGTAATCGCCACCAGTGGAAGGAGTGAACCGCCCATCGATAAACCATCAACCCGGGCATTAAAGTTAAAAACAATATATGAAGAATAAATATTTAATAGAGAAAATGAATAGGGTCAAATACTCTTCCATAAAAGTTTTATTTCTTATTGGACGAGTGTACACCTGGTAGAGACCTTAAGCCTTAACCTTCTCCCGTGAATAACGTAAATAAGTCATTAAACTTTTTATTATTTTCAGCCAATATTTTAATGAATATTTTAAAAGTGTTTTCATCCGTGACTGAAATGAAGCGGAGTTTCAGGTAGGCAAAAAAACAATGAACCACGGCGTTGTTTTCCAGTGTTAATTATTTTTTAATAAAAACTGTCAAAACTGATTTTCTATTTATTTACTAGCTATAGATTAGTCACAGTGTAAATTTAATTATTTACTGATGTTTTGATTGCAATAAAATTGATCGGGCACCATGAACAGTAAAATCAACAGAATAGTTCCGCTAAAATTTCTTTTTTATACCTATTTTACAAAAGGACTTGTTTTCAAACTATGTTGTCAATTAAATAACTATAAAGAAAACAATGTGTATTTATTTCCGTTAAAATATGCAAAACAAATATAATATTTTAAATATTACGACATGGGTAATGCTTACTACGATAGATTCATAAGCAAAGCTCTGGACTTGAAGTTGACGGAACTATTGATATTGATATTATATACTGTTATTCAGGAAAGATGACGATTACACCAACAATGGCACCAAGCGTATTCTTATAGCATTTGCTGGTGTCATGTCGGGTATATTGATATTGACACCTGTGACATCTCCAAAAATGGATGGAGATGGAGCTATTCAACTAGTACCGTCAAAAGTTATATTTATATTATTTATTACCGCCAACAAAAAAAAAGGAAAAGCTTTAGAAATATCAAAGGAAGAAATAATGATAAACATATATATAATTCATGTAGCATACTCCATATCTACGTCTTACTTTTTATGAGCAAAAGAATAATAAAGATAAATTTAATTTTGAAATAGCTACTACCAGTAATATTCTTAAATTAAGTGAATATGGCGCACCTAAATGAACCCCAAAGAATTGAAATTTTAATTTTTAAGAAGTTTATAATTTGTTCCACAGTGAAGTAATACTGTTTAGTGATAAACCAACGTTTTGCCTAAATGGTGCTGCAAATAAACAAAATTGTGGTTATTGGGTTATTGGAGTATAAATAATCCCCAATGGATAAGAGAAAATCATACACATCTTCTTTCTTCTTATTAAATCTTACTGGAGCCCGATATTTGCTATTTCTTGAAAATTACTTAATTCCTACTCTCACAGTTTCTTGCCCAAATCCAAATTAGCTTGATATGCCAGATAGACAGTTTTCGTTTCGTTATTCATCCTATTTTGCTCGACAAATAGGTAAATATTTAAATACTGTATTTCCCGGACAATGGATTGGTGGAAGTGGATTCTGCATGGAAAATGGCCAGGCATCACTGACTTTATTCCTCTGGGGACATTTAAAATCAAAATTGTATAAGAAAAAAACAACAAAATGTAGATAATTCAAAAAATTTAGAATTAGATACGAGATAAGGCAAATTAATGAAAATATCCTGAGTAATGTCTTTGAAGGGTTTTTAAATCGATTAACGTATTGTCAATAAAGTAATTTTCTGTTTCTATAAATTTTCTCTAAATTTTACTTACTTGTTTTTCTGGATATTTTGCGATAAACAAATTACCAGATCTCCAGATCCAATAAGAAATATAATTCGAATTCTTCGAGTTTCACAAATGTAATTGTGACAATTTAAGAACTTTACTGGTACTAGCTACCCTGTATATTTTCTATTTATTGCAAGAAATACACAAGAAGAGTTCACGATGGATGTGTACGAGCATTTTCCTTGAAATCCCGTATCTCAGTATAAATTAAAATTTATAAGAAATGAACGACAATTTTATAATTTACCTTTTTTGTTTTAGTTATTATGCATCTACTGCCTTCCCTGTGGGCCCCACACGACTAGTACCACCAATCAAGCGGCAGCGACTGATGACTACAGCTCGTAACGGCAAGACTAGTCAATCCCAGAAATGTACCGCAATACCGCCCCTGGATCAGCTTAAAGTATACAGTAAGGGGTTCCATATAAAGTTAAATGATAATCAGAGTCGGCAGCATACCGACGCTATGTTTAAGTTAACCCTAGCCAATTTGCCATCTAAGTGTGGTTTAGAAATAGACAGGCCGCGTTAGTTCCTCCTTTTTGTATCAATCATTTGATATATTTTCGACCAATCAATGCGTCTAGACGGCGCAGTTCACGCCAATTAATTCGTGACATATCTGTGACAACAAAAACAAATAAATCCATTCGATTAAATAAGGGTTTTATAGAACGAAATTTTTCGAAAGCACCTGGATCGGGTTCTACCTGATTTATTAGAGGGGCTTCCTTCGGCCAGAAGTATTTCACTTAGAGACGTAAATTGTTTCGAAATTTATTGCCCTAATTCGTCTTAATAGTTTCTTTTTGGAGGCCGTCAATTCCAACTTTTCTGTCCTTAACAATGATAATTCTACTCCAGTTCCCTGTTCAACATTTGAGCAAGATTGTTTTCGATAAAAAAATTGTACTTTCATATCGTTTAATCTAATGGATAAATCTGTTTTTTAAGATCCAAGACAGTGGACATCTCACTTTCAGACAACCGCGATATATTTAAGCCAACAACCTAGTTGCAAGGCAATCCAAATATAGTTGCGCCAAAAAAATTTTGCCAAGCCTGCTCGCTTCTTTAGAGCTAAACTGAAACCGGCTCGCATTTCACTCTGCACCTGCTTGTATATTGTTTGGGGATCTAAAGGAGAAGTATGAACATTGCCATTTAGGTTAAACGTAAAGACCTGAATCGCGATTAAGATTGTTTGCACACAGATTTTAATAGATTCTCAGATTTTTCGTTGGTAGAAGAATTGATTACAAGAATTCTAATTTCATTGAATAAGATTTCATCTCCGGTTTCGTGATATTTGTTGTAGTATTAAGCCTCTTTCATATTTTTGGAGCCTGGTTGATATTTTTCGTCCTGTCTCTCCAATGTATCATTTGCCGCGTATGGAATTTTGTTTTCGACGGATCGAAGATGTTGAGAGATTTTTGTACGGGGTTGCTTTCGAACTCATTGTGTTGGGAAGGTTTTGGTGAAGTTTATTTTGTAATGGAACGATTAATATCTCCAATGTGGATATTATTAGAAAGAGGAGCATATGTAAGATGTTTTAATTCTAGGTTCAATCACTCTGGTTGAGATAGTTTGACGGCTCTGTAAACAAGAGAATTGATGAACGATGTCACATTGGCTAAATGTTAGCAAGTTTGATTTATAAACATATAAATATATATAATTGTTATAATCAGCACCGCCGCTTATCCGTAGCCGTGCACCAACTTCAACTGACTTCAATTAATTAGTAACGATGAGAAAAAAATAATTGTTATGAATTGTAATTGTAAATTTGAAAAATTCAAGTTGTATAATTCAGACTTCAGCAATTACCCGTAAGAGAATATACGATTATTCCAAAACGACCCCCTACACCATAAAGCAGGCTAGTCACTAGCGAATATGCTCGCTATCATGCTTGCGTTGAGCTTCCGTTGAAGAAAATAACAGTATCTTTTAGGTGGTTATTCAAATACTAACAATTCGATAAACTCTCACTCTCAACTAATTAATATTATAACGAAAATATCCCAATTTGGCTTTTGCCATCGCGTTTAAGTCTTCCCTCTCAACCAGCAACTTACGAACGTATTAGAGAATTTGCCCACACACTAGTGAGTTTTTTGCCTTAATGCTGAGCATGCACCCGGACATATGAGCTAGTGAGTGGTCAGCTTAACAAAACTGAATATTTTTTTTCAATCCAATAACAACAAAACTCGCAAATAATTACTGGACATCCTTATTTCCAAGAACGAAAAGCTGTATTAGTAAATTATTATACACCCAGTTTGATAAACTTTAGTCGCACGTTTGAACAGAGTGAGTGATAAGCACGCCCTTTACAACTGAAATTTTGTTTTTGATTATCAAACGTAATGTTAAGAAAACCTCATAATGAAGTAGACATTTTATTTAATATAATAATTAATTAATATAAAACTTCTTCTTTTCTTTGAAGTATTTGTCTGTCTTTCTGCGTTCTTTGTTTGGTTAGTTGAACTGACAATCATAATAAATATATTTGTGAAATGCTGCCACTGATTTATCGAATCTCAAGCGCTCTATCAAATTTAAGTTTATAGTTCGAAATTAAATTTTGATATACTTTAAACTATCTGTTGTCTGGAGGTTGGATTTAATACCAAGCAACAACGCAAAATACTCCAACATTTTTTTTTGTTTTCTTCTCAATTCCCTGGATTTCATATTCATAACGTGGGTCAACATTATGAATTATATTTTATTTATTTCACCTAACTGAATGTATTTCCGTTGGATATAGTTGTAGTACTCCCATAACTGATGGTTGTCTTATTTCAGGTAATCAAGATATATTGATTTGCGGAAATTGTCGCGAGATGTTTTCCGAGTTACACGATCTTCTGGAACACAAAAAATCCTACTGCAAACTGAGGTTTACGTGCAAGTGTGACAGTAGTAAATCCAGTAAGTAAATCTCTCAAAAAATAACCGAACGAAATCCAATGACGACTTATGATTTCTAGAATCACTTCTAGACGAGCATTCGACGGCTTCCCTTCTATGTGTTCAATGTAAAGACGCCTTTCAGAACGCATGGGACCTTATGGTGCACGCGCAAGCCGCCCACATGGTAAATATATACGAATTAGGAGTACCATCCATGAGGAATTGTTCTTCTCCACCCATATCGCCTAGAGATAACAACACACCGGATAAGGTAAGTGGGCGAGTATCTATGTTTCGGGAGTGTGACGTTATCCTACTGTATGTAGTTTCGAAGTTAGAATATTTATTTTCAAATCTATTATAGTATTAAACTTATACAAAGTTACCATAATTAACTTTAATCTTAACCAAACACAAACTAGACAAAACATGGTATTTAAAGAATTTTATTTTTGGGATATCTGGCGGTCTATTATATTTACGTTTAAAATTACTTTCCCATTTTTATCCCATTTGTCCCATGAGAACTAAATGTATCAAAGCTGATTTTTTCAAAAACAGAACTCCCTATCTATCTGCCAGAAACCCTGCCCAAATGTACGGTAAAGTGTTACAATAAATCATATTTCTTATAACTTATAATCTGAGTGCGTTTTGTGTTTATGTATCCATTACAAAGATCACAATAGGAGAATACATAAAATTTTTAGCCTTGCCTTTCCAGCACTTCAAGCTAAAACAGTGTTTGTTTAAGAAGTGGAAGATATATATTTGTTAAGTTGGGTAATAAAACAAATCTTCCACAAACTTTAGGATTTGGAGGATTTTATTGATTTCGTTGAACGGAATGGAAAAAATAGATTGCCAAAAGGATACATAAGAGATAGACAAAACCCATCACCCTTTTATGATGATGGTTAATTTAAATCTGTTCATTTTGTCTTTTACGTTACATTTTTTTTTGGAGTTATTTTTTGTTTTTTTCTTTTTCTAAAATAAATTTATGATACTTATACCTATTTTAAAATATACAGGTAAAATTATCTAATACAATTTTTTAAATTATTTTTGGTTCAATTCAGTTATTATTCTGTCAGTGTGTGGATATCTCGTTCTTTTATTCTCTAAAACAGTTGTCAGTCAAAATGAATTATTCATATTGGTTATAATAATAATAATATTAATAATACTTCTTTACGATTTTGCTTTACAGGAAAAGTACAAATAAAATGACGTCAAAAACAGACAACGATTGATTAATATAATTAACCAAAATATTCGCCAAGTGTATATGGTTCTAGGCTTATTAACATTTCCCCAATACGTTTCTTAAAATTTCTAATAGTGCTTATACATTTCACAGAGTTCGGTAGATGGTTAAATATCTTGATGCACATATAATAAGGTCATTTTTCTGTTATTGATAGTCTGTGACTAGGTACCATAATATTCTTGGTTCGATTGTTACAATTGTGCATGTTTGCGTTAATTTCATTTCTATTTTTAAATATAAATATTCGTAAATATAGATTCGACACACGGTCATTATCTGTAATTGCTTAAAGCATCCTCTGCAAGAGTCATTGTACTGCATTTTTCTTATCGATCTTATGGTTCTCTCTTGAATAATAAACACTTTTTTTAGCACAGAACTACAACCCCAGAATATTATGCCTTACCGTACAACAGATTCAAATATGACACAATAAACAGTTCTTAAGGCTTCCGTTCTCATAAACCTTCCTAAATTTGGTACATACTGTCCGTATATGCGTTTCCTATTGTAAATATTGGTTTATGTGAACACCTAAAAACTTTGCATTCTCTGTAAACTCTAAATTTATGTTATTAATTAATTCCTAGATAGTCAGGAATCTGGGATTTTTTTTGTTCTAAATAAAATCATCTTTGTTTTATTAGGATTGACTATTAGATTGTTTTGTATGAACCATGAATTTATTCTCTCGAATGCATTTTTCATTTTATTTCTTACAGCCGTGCTTAAATATTTGTATCATCCGCATAATTAGTTATCAAAAAATTATCTATGCGCATTGGTAGATCGTTTATATAAAAAATAAAAAGAATTGGTCCTAGTATGCTACCCTGTGGTATCCCCGTACAATTTTGTAAGGTTTCAGATTTTTTAATAATATTTTTACTTTGGACGATGACTTGCTATTTTCTGTTTGAGAGGTATGGTTGTATCCAATTGAGTGCTTTACCACGAATCCAATATCTCTCCAATTTATACAATAAAATTTTATGGTCTAGCCAATCGAATGCCTTGCTGAGGTCTAAGAATAAACCCATGGCTAAGTTTTTTCCTCAAACCGCTCCAAGATGGTTTTGGTGAACTGAAAAATGGCGGAACTGGTTGATCTGGTTTTTAAGTAGGCATGTTGAGAGCTAGAGAACGATTCACATTTGTTGATAAATACAACTAATCTGTAGCATATCACCATTTCAAACGGTTTGGAAAAGCTGGGTAAAAGACTCATTGGTTGATATAAAGTGACATACGTCAAACTCTAATCCTTCTGTTTTAATAGTGGCCCAAACAAACTGATTTTTGCGATAATGCTAAGCGTAACACCTTCTCAATGCATCCTTATTGAAGCATTGCTTGAAGACAGATTAAATATCATAATGTTAAGGAGACTTTGAGGTGTTCCTTGAATAAGGGATACCTTGAAGGGCGAGTATAAATATAGGCATTAATTAAAATTTATGGTATAAAAAAACGTCGTACCAGAATAATATAAACGAAAAGAATATAAAACATATTCTGCTTTCAGCTTCTGAAGTTAAATGTATTCCGTATATTTATTCATTAACCCCCGTAAATTATTAATGTTTCGATATCGCCCAAACACAACGTGGATAGTAAACCGCAATAGTAGATCTCTAGTCCCGAGTTGTCACAGCAGTACGTTTAGATTAATCAAGGACTCACCGCGGGTCAATTTAAATTATTAATTTGGTAAAAGGCATTCGTTGTTCGCTTTAGATCAAAACCCTTGTCATTATATTTTTGTCATTTTCCTCACCCTCCCGGATTTTCAACCCTTCGTCGTTTTAAATAATTGAAAAATAAGTCGAAAAGTCTCTACGGTCGCGATAGATAATTGGGGTTAAAACAAGGCACAACGAATACCGTCAGCTATTTATTCAGGTAAAATATCTCATAGCACCCCTTTGTTATGGAGTATTTTCGCGGAATACATTTTTTGCGGATCCTGTTTGCTCATCAAATTTTGCCCATTTTCAGCAACTCTCCGGTTATCGCGATTACCGCGCCATTTGAAAAAATCAATTTGCTTGATCCTTTTGCTTTGGCCCTCGAACGCCACATCGTAAATTAGATTTAAATTCCTTTTGCTTCCTCTTTTTAGCACAGTTTGGTCTCGCGTACCTTGCTCCTCGTTGTTGTCGTGGACAACATTATCGACGATGTTACTCACCGTTTTGATTACCTCGTCGCGTTCCGCATGAGCTCGTCTTTTGTGGAGCAACTTGGCTTTCTTCCTGATATATTTCCTCCTCAAAATGGAATATGTCTCTTGAACTTGGCTCAAATTCTTCTTTTTGTGGTTTACTCGTGCTGGCATTACAATTTCTAATCTTTCGTCATCATAAGGGGCACCATTCGGTAAACCGCTTTCAACCGCTTCCCTTTCCCTCAATTTTTGTAGGTTGTTTTGGAAATCGGTAGGCTCCAGCAGTGCGCGGTTGCCAACAGACGCGTCCTTGGGACTAAAATCCCTACAGTGCCGGTATCGCTGGCAAACTTCATCCAAAAGCTTCTGCCGTTCCTCCCTCAGTTTCGTCAAATTGAAAAGATAAACCTCGCGGTCGACTTTTAAGCGTTGGATAAATTTTTCGCGCATGTAACTGATTTTCTGTCGCCTGTCAAACGTTTCCTTCTCCTTTTCCTTAATTTCGGTGATTTTCTTTTGGAATTTTTCTCTTATCAGTTGCACTTTTTGTCGATGATTTTTCCCCAACGCGTTCCATTTGACATCGAGTTCCGTGAACCGTTTTTCGCACTCGCTCTGACCAGTTTCGTCGACCTCGGTGGATGACTTGTTTGCATATATTCTAGCGATTTTTTCTATAACGTCTCCTTCTGAGAGCAAAGGTTTAATATTTTTGAGTGCTTTAGAACTTGCCTGCAGGTCTTTCCTCGTCCCCGCTTTTGAGTTTTTTTTCGCCTTTTTACCGGTTCCTTTCTTATCGGCCGCGGGGTTTCCTTCAGTTGCTTTTGTGAGTTCGTTGACTAGTTTAATTAAACACAGGTCTTGGATGAGAGTAGCTACAAACATTTGAAATTTCCGATTTCGCAGCAATTTTTTCACCGTCTGAAATCTGGGTTGCTGCTCTTTCTTAGATTCGTCCTCAGCTTTATAGTCTTTCGCCAAGAGATCTTCATCAAAGTTGTCAAACGAGGTCAATGACAGATTAGAAAACTCTTTCGCGTCACAAACTCCTTCGTCTGCGAAATTTTCATTGATTTCGTCCATCACAGTACTTAGTAAATCGTTATCTATAACCGTCGTTAGATTTCGTTTTCCAAATGGTTTGATATTGTTTAAGTTCTCTGAAGTAGGCAGTTTTAGAACAATCAAAAACATTGCCACCGTGACGGCCAGTAAAAAGATCGTGTAAACAAGATTTATGGGCTCTTCTGTAATATTTTTATCCTTCTTTTTCTCTTTCTTGTCGCCGTTTTGCAACAAATCAGTTACGCTACCATCCAACACCTCGTTTTTGTCGTTCTGCTTGGCATCTGTACGACTTTTTGAACTTGTCACCGACGAATCGGGCGGCTCTTCTAACAATGTCCAGGACGAGTTCGAACTCAGATCCGAGCTACTACCAGAAGTGGTTTTACTCATTACGAAAATTTTACGACGATAATGAGTCGGAAAAGCAAATTGTGATGGATATTGACGTTTGGTGATTTTCACAAGTTTTATTTTGTTGCCATGCAACTTTTGGCAGATAAGCGGTAAAATTAGAGTATGTGAGTTACCGCGATAGTAGGAAAATTTGTTGCCCCACTTGGTTATGATCACTTGGATATATGTATTATTCTGTTCAAGACTTAACTCAAATTTCAATGGAGCAAAAGAGCCTAACCTAATTAGAATGTTAACCGCATAAGGGACGGAATACCCATTAACTTTGGCTGTCACCATCGCTATCCGACTTTGTTGAGACCTTCGCTGAACAGTTGGTTGGAGAACATTCTAAACCATTCCCTAAAAT